ATTAAGATTTGGTACGTTAGTATATATGACATAAATTAGGATTGATTGACGTATTCAATTGTTTTCTACAACTTTTGATTTTTAAATGGCACACTCGGTATTTTGTTACTTTTGACATTTTCGTATATGGTTTATTTGAAATTGCAACATACGATGCATAACGACAATTTGACTCGAAATATCAAATCTGTAGTACCAAATTATTTGTGAAAAAATGCTTTTTCCAAATATGCTAATGAGCCATTTTAGTTCCGCTTGAGAAAAATTGAGATATGATTAAAAATACGATTTGGACATCTTTTAACCGCCAGGACAAAACACGAAAAATATTAGACGATCAAACCTATTTTTCCAAGACTCCTTGATTAAAATTAGTGTTTTTAACACAGTACTTTAGATTAAAATTTAAAATACAATTTTCTTTTAAGTAACAATGTCAAAAGTTGACATATAAATATGTCATTCTATTCAGACTGTCATTGTCTAACAAATAAAGCAGAAAAATACCGAGGGTGCCATTTAAAAATCAAAAGTTCTAGTCATTTCCGATGAAACAGGAAGTGACCGAAAATAATTGAATACGTCAATTAATCCTAATTTATGTCATATACTAACATAACATATCTCGTTTTTTTATCTGAAAAAAATAAAATAGTTATAGGGCCACTTTTGAGACGCACCCGGTATACATGGATTTAATCTGAAGGTTTTAAGGTAATTTAATTATAAAGTGTCTTAAAAACTATAGGTGGTGTTATATTATATTAAGGACAACAATTAACATTTAAGGTAGTATAAACTAGTTCTTCTCTAACCTTCCTTGTTAAGACCAACTGCAATGACCGTTAAAAAATAAAAATGAGTACAAGTACCAAAATGATCCGGCCCAAATTATCTTTGATTGCCATTCTTAGCCGTCTTTGACGCCATTTTTTTGTGATTGTATGGTATTTATAAATTTAAAAAGCACAACGTACCTATCTTTATATGTTGTAATCACATTGTTCCATCTCTATCGTTAATTGTGTCTATTATCCAAATAATTAAACAGTGCTGAAAATTAGGATTCTGTATTGATTAAAACTTACTTCGCTTATTACGTTCAATTTCTACCCCTTTGATTTGAACGCCGGGATAAAAATAAGCTGTAGTTATGTAAGTAATTCTTTTCTATGTTGAACATTATACCTAATTTGTAATCAAAGAACTTTGGAAGCATATATTTGATCGTGTAATTTTCTTTCGTATCCTTTCATGACCGCTTAAAAGATGCCCAAATCGTATTTTTAATGATGACTCAAATTTTTCAAATGGTACGACGCTGGCTCAGCATATTTGGAAAAATCATTTTTTACAAATAATTTGGTACCACATACTTGGTATTTGGAGTAAAATTGTCGTTGCGTTTATTTATTGCCATTTTTAAATTAACTATTAATTATATAATTATAAATTAATTATTAAAAATGTCAAAAGTTGACATATAATATATCATTCTATTTAGAATGATCAAATATATGTTTCCAAAGTTCTTTGATTACAAATTAATAGTTTTAACTCAGTCTTGGCACTCTAGACTGAAATTTAAAATGCTATTTTTATTTAATTGGAATTGTCTAAAATTGACGTATAGTATGTCATTCTATTCAGAATGTCATTTTCTATCACAAATAAAGTAAAAAGTACTTAGGATACAATCTAAAAATACAAAGTTGTAGTCATTTCCGGTGAAACAGGAAGCGACCGAAGGTAATTGAATACGTCAATCAATCCCGATTTATGTCATATACTAACAAACCAAATTTCGTTGTATTATCTGAAAAAATAAAAAAGTAAAAAAGTGAGCCCCTTTTGAGAAACACCTGGTAGAATCGGCTGAAAATAAATACAGGTCTTAAAAATAGACTATAACGAATAATATACCAAAGGACCCCTATGACCCTCCGCCTGCTAAATATTGATTCTTCAACGACAAAAGTTCTTAAACTGTTTACCAGTTAATTTATTTAATAAAATGCTTGCACTCGAAATCCGGGCACTTTGAAAAAACAGCGACTACCTAAACGCATCCTAGATCTATAGAGCAAACTGGTTGTCGCATTCTTCCCCGCACCTCAGTCCTCGGGACCGATGCGATGGGCTGTGCCGTCGTTTACGACCTGCTGCTACGAGTATTGGTGGGTTCATACAACCAAATAAAATAAAATAAGAATAAAATAAAATAAAATAAGAAAGTTGGTTATATGGGATACCGTACATGCGTTCATACAGCCAAATAAAATAACAAATAAAATAAGAAGTCTTTATCTTTTAACTTCTTGTTTTATTTTATGTGAAAACGGCTTTGCGCACGCTTAATTCTAACCTACAAATATTTTCAGTTTGATTTAATTTATTTTATAATTTCACATAAGTAAAATGTATAATATAGTAGGCAACGAATAAATAAATATACTATAAATAGTAAAATTACTATAAACAATCGTAAAAGTTAACTTTTATCCAGCCTTATCGTACTGCGCATGAGCAAATATATATTTCTTATTTTATTTTATTTGACTGTATGAACGCACACAAATAAGAATTCCTTATTTCTTATTTTATTTTATTCTTATTTTATTTTATTTGGCTGTATGAACCCACCATATATACTGTGAATTATATATGTTCGCGAACGTTTTGTATCGAGTAGCTTGGACGCGGCTTTACAGTAGCAAAATACCCATAGGAGAAAATAAACACTTGTAAATTTTGAAAAAGACAATGAAAAACAAAAAAAAAACAATCACAAATCCTTAATCTATACTAATATATAAAATCCTTAAGTGACTGCCATACTGATTAATCACGATCCTGCCCAAACCACTCAACGTAAGAAGCTCAATTTTGGCATATAGGTTGAATCTAGGGTGTAGAGGTTCGATAAGAAGGGATTTTTCGAAATTCCAGTTCCAAGAGGGTGAAACCACCCCTCAAATATTACAATATTTTTTTATTTAAAAAACGGTCAAGTTTCCGAAGAAACGCTTAAACACGTATATTTTATTTTGTTTTTTACATATTTTAAGATTTTTTAAAAATGTATACAGGGTGTTACGAAAAATCTGGTTGTTGATTCATCACGATCCTGCTTAAAGCGCTTGACGTAAAAAGCTAATTTTTTGAAGAGATTGACTTTAGGGTGTAGAGGTTCGATAAGACGGGATTTTTCGAAACTCGAATTCTAAGGGGGTGAAACCATCCCTCAAATATTAAAATATTTTTTTATTTAAAAACCGGTGAGTTTTTCGGAAAAACTCTTAAACATGTATATTTTATTTTGTTCTTTTACACATTTTAAGATATTTTATAAATTTATACAGGGTGTTTCATGAAATATGACCCTTGAGTAATCACGATTCTGCTTAAACTGCTTGACGTTTAAAGCTGATTTCTGGCAAACGGATTGAGTGTGGGGTGAAGAGGTTCGATAAGGAGAGGTTTCTCGAATCTCAAATTTCAAGAGGGTGATAACGCCCCTCGAATATTACAATATTTGTTATTTAAAAAACGGTCAGTCTGTCGGAAAACGCTTGGACAAGCATAATTTATTTGGTTTTTTTACAGATTTTGAATTTTTTTAAAAAATCATACAGGGTGTTCCAAAAAGTTGGGTATATCTTAACCACGATTCTGCTTAAACTGCTTGACGTAGATAGGGGTGAGCCACTTTTGAGATGCACCCAGTATATAATGTTGTTCCTGAGGGGGGTGACACCCCTCCCATAATACGCCCCTGCTATTTTGTAATTAATAAAATAAGGCCCTAGTACTCGGGATTTTGTGATCAGATAAAGTAAAAAATATCACATATTCATATTTAATTCAATAAAATATATGTTAAATTTAATAATTATTGTTTTTAAAAGTTTTATGTTTTACTAAAAATTTATTTATTTGTGATATGTACTGCAGTCTATCAACTAATTCAATCAGTTATAATGCAGTGTTGTCGACAGTTTCGTGTACTTAAATTATTAAGTCATTTTAGACTCTATGTAAATTTAATATTATAGGTACTTTCAGATTGGACTTCTGAGAACTATCTTAATGGAGTCCATCTTGAGAAATAGTTCAATTGAAGAAAGGCGACAAATATGTATATTTTTAAGGAAAATCATTAATCCGACACATTTCACAGCCAATGGATTTTTCGAAATGGATATAAACATCGTTGGACCAGTAAGTAAATCAATATTCTTACATATGGCTACCAAAATAGGACACTCGGTACAAAGATTTTTTGAAATTAAAATTATCATTACCAGTAATAGGCATGTATAATTTTCTTGTAGAAATAATAATACCTCATAGTAAAAAATAACAGTTTAATTTTGTAAATCTGTTAAAGAATAAGATTTTTTTTAAATTCTTGACACAATGATGACCAGAAATAATATCGAGAGTGAAAGATTTAGATTTTACATAAATAACAATAACGTTTTTTATAATTATATGGCCTATATATCATTATTTAATAAAGAATTTATAGTAAATAAAAGAAAAACATGCTTGCAGAGCATTTTGCAAAACAACAAAATTAACGGAAGAATATTTCGATAAATTCTTGACAAAATGGTGACCAAACATTTCACTGTATTTCAAGTGTTTATTCTAGGCTAAACAGTTTGTTAAGAGCTTTATATCTATAGATTTAACATTTTATAGGCTATTGCTGATTTCCAGTTCTATATATAACTGTATTTAATGTTAAATGTATTATGTATACATTTTTAGATCACAGGAAGTGTCTTAACTTACATACTGGTCATACTTCAAAGCAACATTTGGATTCAGTAATTATAACGAAACTAATATAAAATATAAAGCATGACTAGTTTGTTGATTCAAATTATTATTTAATTATAAAAAGCTTTGTAAACTGTTATAAATAAAAAAAATTATGGTGCCCAAAGAATTATTTAGTTGCATACTTTTTTTATTCTTCTCTTTGATCTGTGGTCAGAACTTTAACTAAATAACCTCAAAAATGTCGTGTGGTTTTCGATAAACAACAATTTTTTTTTAACTTAAGAATAAGCTTTAAATATGGAATTATTTGTAATAAATAGGTACGTATATAAACTAAATGTATTTAAATTTATGTATGTTAATTTATGGTTTGTTAAAGACATGACGAGAGTCAAGAAGGCGAACCGGTCCAAGAAAACGATAACTTAAACAGAGTTTTAAAGAAAATTGAGCGAAATAAAAAGCTCAGAAACAAACAAAAAGAGAAGGAACAAAAGACCAAACAGGCAATAGAAAGAACAACGCTAGCTAGGAAAATTAAAAGGGAGGCCAAAGAAAAAAAGCAAAATATTGTACCAGTTCCGGAGAATAATATCGATGAATTTGTTGATAACGATACTACAGAACCAAATGCTACATATAGGTTACAAGATCCTGTACCGGATTCGACAGAAGACAGTGTAGAGAAGCTGAAAAAAGGAAAGAAAAGGAAAATAGACCAGGAAGATGTAAAAGGTTTTACAATTTTAGGTGTTGATAATTTTCAACAAACATCTAAGGTAGGATATGTCTTTAAACTTGTAATTTATCGTTTTTAAAGTAATATGTAATATTTTAAGGTAAAAAGAGTTTTACCTAGATGGCTTACAAACGCTACTGTTATCTCTGTAAATTTACAAAAGTTAGAATCAAAAGTTTCCAGTTTTAAGATCATTGATAAACACCTTAGGTCCTTGTTAAAATCCAATGGCGTTGTGAATTTGTTTCCAGTTCAAGCTGAAGTTATACCCTGGTTATTAGAAAGTAACAAGTAATATACGGTTACACTTTTTAAATAATATATTAATATGTGTTATATTATTTTTATTATATTCCAGACATTCTGATATAATGTTTCCCAGAGACATTTGTGTTTCTGCACCAACGGGCAGTGGAAAAACTTTAGCTTTTGTCTTACCAATCGTTCAACTATTAAAAAAGTATTCTGTAAAGAAAATTCGGGCCCTCGTTATTCTTCCTACACAAGATCTGGCCAGACAAGTCTATGGGACATTTAAGATGTACATAGCTGGAACTAATATAGATGTTTGTCTTATTACTGGACAGAACAGCTTCGAAGTAGAACAGAAACAAATTCTTGTTAAAAGTAAGCATTACTACAATGTACGTTTTATGTTATGTATTATGTTAAATGATTCTAGATGAAGCATTTGGGTATGTAACTAAAATAGATGTATTAATATGTACTGCTGGAAGATTAGTAGATCATTTGAAGTCAACTGAGGGTTTAGATTTGAGTTATTTAGAATTTTTAGTTATTGATGAGGCTGATAGAGTTTTGGAAAACGTACAAAATGACTGGCTTTATCACTTAGAGAGGCATATATCCCCGGAAGGTTGGTTATTGGTTACTATACTTAATTTTTAATATCTTTATGCTGAATATTATATTGTTTTATAGGTCCTCTAAGAATTTTAAATCAATTTGCACTTCAGAAAAGAAGACCACCGCAAAAACTTCTATTTTCAGCTACTCTGTCTCAAGACCCCGAAAAACTTCAACAACTTTCACTTTTCCAACCTAAACTATTTACTTCTATTGTTGAGACAGAAGAGGGATCTGCAGAAAAGTTGAAAGAAACCAAATCAGACACATTTGTTGGAAAATATACCACACCTAATGAGCTTACAGAAAAATACATTGAAACATCTATGGATTTGAAACCGTTGGTTCTGTTTAAGTTTATCAAACAGGAGAATTTGAAGAGGACCCTTATTTTTACACATTCAGTAGAGAGTACGCATAGATTGACAATTTTACTGAAAGCAATGTTTAAAGATGAAATATCTGTTCAAGAAATATCGTCTCATCTGCAGCCAAAAAATAGGATTGAATTAATAGATCAATTTTCAAAAGGAAGTATTGATTTGTAAGTTTTTTTTCTAAGTTTGGTAATGAAGAAGATTAATTGTTTTGATTTTAGGTTGATATCTACTGATTCATTAGCTCGAGGTATAGATTTCCCTGGTGTACAGTGTGTTATTTCTTATTCAGCACCAAAATATTTAAAAACTTACATTCATAGAGCTGGTAGGACAGCAAGGGCTGGTGAGCAGGGTTTAACAGTGACTTTCTTGCATAGTTCACAAGTTTCAAAATTTAAATCCCTGTTGAAACAAGCTGATAAAACGAATGTACAAGAGGTAATTACGAGAATATAATAAAAATAATTATGTAAATTTTTAAATGTAATTTTATTTTTTTTAGATAAAAATATCTGAAGAAGACTTGGAGCCGTTGGGTGAACAGTATAAGGAGTCCTTGGTTAACCTTAGGAAAGCAGTTGATCAGGAAGAAAAATCTGATTTAAAGAAAACAAAATCAGCAAAGAGAGTTAAACCAGGGTTTAAGAGAAAATTTAAAAAGGTACAAAATAAGAAAAACGTTGATAAACCTGATTAAGAGTTTATCAAAGTTCTAAATTGTTAAATTTTACTTTGTTTGAAATTTTTAATAAATATTGTCTAAAAAAATGAGTTCTGTTTTTTTGTTGAATAGCTCTAACTAACAATTTTTCAGTCTCAATGCCCATTAGTCCCAGAGAAATATATTTTTTAAATTCTTCAAAAAAACTTGTTTCAAAGCAAAGCAAATTTTAGTGCTCTGCCAGTAGTTATACTGAAAAATGTTCACCATGAATTCATATTATTTACTAGATTTAAATAATTATAAAAATGCTAAGCAATGACTATGGAATTCTTTAGTCGAGATAGCTGCTGTTTCTTGTTCATTTTGCTGCTTTTTGCCGTTTAGGGAATACCGTGAAATGTCATAAATCAAGGGTCAGCGAAAATCTACGCTGAATGTCAGCGGCTGTGTCCCCTGAACGCGCCCATGCTTACGCCTTTATCTATGGCATCTATGGACATCAGCGACAATTTTAGAGATTTTTAATAGTTTGTGTATATTAAACTTTGTATAAACTTTATTACAATGGCGCTGCGCCGCAGCGAGTTGCGTTTCATAGGTAAAAAAACAGTCCGCTCCAACTTTTTAGCGTTTTCTTATTTTTTTATTGAATTCGATAATTATTTTTCTGACATATATGTACTTGATGTGTGCTATACGTCCATACTAGTTTTGTACCTTTTGTTAACATTTTAATACGTTTTTTTCGTAATTAATTAGTATGATACCACCGTATACACCATAGGCGTAGTCAAAACAACTATCAAAAAATATAAATATCTCTTCAAACAGCAAGTTAAGAAAAATATGTGTCACGGCACTGTTTGGTGACATGGTAACAATCTGCTCTCGGGTGTTATTTGTTCTTGTTTTTTTCAAAAATTTGTGCTACTAAAAGCGATTCTGTAGAATTTTGTACATAAAATAGTTACAATATGTTTGTTATACTTTAGATGTTACATCTTTGAATGTCATAGAAAATACGTAACTAAACGTAAGTACTTACAAAAGTTCTTGCATTGCAAAATAAAAACACTAAATCACCACAATACACCAAAACACTTTACTTTTAGATGCATATGAAAGCATCAGAATTAATAAATATAAAGATAGTATGAACAGAGTCAACGGTCCAATTCCTTCAAGTTCTTTGTTCCTACTACTCTAGTGGCGGAAATCTAACTGTTACGCTCAGTTGGCTAGATTTTGCCACGCCCACTCGGTGCCCACTGAGCTCAATTTGCTAGCTAGTATATAAACGCTCAATTTGTAGATTGTACTTTAGTTTATAATCATCTGCTGATGATGCTAACATGGTTAGCGAAACGCGCGTCCAGTGTAAAAGTAAAAGTGTTTTGGTGTATTGTGGTGATTTAGTGTTTTTATTTTGCTGTGTAACACCAAAGGTTCCAACCCTCAACTGTAAAGTTCTTGCATTTTCGAAAAAGAATTTCTGGTTAATGAAGATGCTGCTGTGAAACGTTCTCCAATTTATTATTGCAAAGTGTATAACTAGTGTTATTTTTAGGAAGGTTTTCTAAGAATTTAGAAGAGGTAAAATTTCAAAGATCTGCATTGACAGAAAGAAAATGTAAAATTTGAGATTTAACGAAATTGTATTTTAATTATCCCAAAATTGCCAATGAATACAGTTTTGCTACTTAGTGAAGATGAAGGTAAGAAAGTTTAGGTGTTACTGTATATCAAATCTTTGAAAAACTGTAAATTAAAGTAACTCAACATGTAACGCCCATACCACGACATCACCCCAAGAACTAAAAATTAAATAATAAAACTAATAGGTATGTATTTTCTAATTTATTTTTGGAAGTGCATAAAGTCTGGGCACACCAGAGTGTTTATTCATACAAATATACATTGTTATGGTGTTCATAATAATGTGTCGAGATGTAGTTCTTTAACTGTATTTTCTATTAAATACGCTACTAAGGCATGCCTATTGAAAATAAGCATCCGCCATTGTTATATGCTTATTTATTAAAAAATATATAACTAACTTTATTTATTACTAAAATTTATATGTTAAAATATATGTACTGAAAAAATAAAATTTATTATTCATTGAAACATTAAAAAATAACGGCACGCGGGGTTCCCAAGCGGTCACCCATCCAAGTACTAACCGCGCCCGACGTTGCTTAACTTCAGTGATCGAACGGGAACTGGTGATCCAACGTGGTATGGCCGTTACATGCAATAATATGTATCTCTCCTTTTTATTAACTGTGAAATCTAATATTTTTTATGCAATATTAAGAGTTATTGTTAATCTTAATTAATTACAATAATAGTTATAAACACAGTTTTCCAAAAAAATCGCAAAATAAATGCTAATAACATTTATTTACAAGTCATAAAATTCCCAGATAATCTTACTAGTGCCATCTTACTAGTGCCATCTATAAGAGAGAAAAATAAGAGTTTACTCTTGATCTTGTATCTAGACTTCCGTAATAAAATTATATAAGGATTATATGGAGGTTAAAAGGCCTTTTTAAGCATATACATATAACTATTTTTAAGCCCTCTTAAAGCCCTCCATATAATAATCTTATTATGGAAGTCACCATACAAGAGGAAGAGTAAACTCTTATTTTCTCTCTTTTAGTACTTCCCCACTCTCACCCAAAACAGATGGCAGTACTACGATTATCTGAGAATTTTTTAACTTCTAAATGTTACTAGCATTTATTTTGTAATTATTTTTGGAAAACTATGTTTATAACTATTATTGTAATTAATTAATATTAACAATAACTCTTAATATTGCATAAAAAATATTAAATTTCATAGTTAATAAAACAGAGAGATACATGATATTACATGTAACGGCCATACCACGTTGGACCACCAGTTCCCGTTCGATCACTGAAGTTAAGCAACGTCGGGCGCGGTTAGTACTTGGATGGGTGACCGCTTGGGAACCCCGCGTGCCGTTATTTTTTTTTGTTTTAATAAAAAATAATATTTATTTTTTAGTACATATCCAAATGTTTTATCCCATTTTAATACAGAAAATTTAAAGAATAATTAAAGTCTACTGTTGTTTATATTACCTATTTAGGAATAACAAGGAATTTAATAATGAAACCATTTTTTCTAAGTTTGTTTTTGGAAGGGCATACCTAATGTCTGGCAACTCCAGAGATATATAATATATACTATTTTTAAAATTTTATCCAAAATATTTTTGTTTATGTATGTTTATTTAACAATATTGTCTACTAAATACGCTATAAAGGCACATTGAAAATAAGTCTCTATGGCATTCATACGTATAGTAAATGCTAATTTATTAATTTGCGAATCATAAATATCCATGTTATGAAATATACATGAAACATGTTTCAGTTTATTTTGTTAAATTTGCAGACAATAATCATGAACACCTGTTATGCATTATCTCAAATTTTATTAATTTTATTATGGAAGTCACGATACAAGCGGAAGAGCTATGGAGGGCTTAAAAAAGGAGGTTTATCGGCAATGGGCATATTTGAAATTTCTGTCCCCACTTTTAAGCAGGTTCCTCGGTTTGACAGTAGAGGCACTGCGATCGATAGGGATACTATATTTTCATTGTTATTATACGGTTTAAGTTTGTTTTTGCGAAAATTATAGTTAATTTGTTGAATTTTTCGCAGTATAACAATGAGCATTGTGAAAAAAAAACTATACAGTAGAAATAGCTCGGTATCTGGCTGTAGAAGTAGATATTTCAATGAAAAAAAAAGCGAAGAAAGAAAAGTAACCCAAAACTTTTCAAAGCTCCTAATGTAATTAAGTAATATTATTATTTATTTAAAAAAAATTATGATAGATGTTAAGAAAAACATTAAAATTATATATAATCAGTGCACAGATTTATTTAAAAATCATATTAATAGAGAATATAGCCCAAAATCGAACATCTGCATGACATAACCTAGAGAGCCTAAAATAATAATAATTTAATACTTTAATACCTACTAACATGTTATTATATATGTGTTACTAGGTGTTTAAATTACCTGTTATTAAATAAGTAGGTATTAATAATATATATTAACAACCATTGCTATTAAATATTATTTGAATATTATAGAAAGTGAATATTAAACATTATTTACACTTCAAAAATGTAGTTTCAAAATAACAGCTACCTAGAATAGTGAAAAAATATTTTTTTAAATTTATTTAATAATTAGGTATATCTGTTTTACTAGGATGACTAGAATCCTAAATAGCATCGACAAAGAAGAAAGACATCCTAACTTGCTACAGCAATGGGCAAAGGGCAATTCACCAGACAAAATACTTCGCAGTAGTGATGTGTTTTATGCACTTATTTAGACAAAATTAGTTGACGGAACCAAAACGGAACTATCAGTAGATAAGGGTAGATAATTTATTTTACTATTAGTAGATAATTTCTTTATTGTATATTCAGGCGTATATTACATTTATTAAATTTAGCTATTTGGAGTTAGTCAATTAATCAAAATAAAAGTTATGTATTTATATTCCTAAATAAATAAATTTAATGTTTCAATACTTTCAATGTTTCCTGTAAGCCTATTTTTTAATGTAGTTTTTAGAGAAGGTTTTTTACCACGTTGAGTAAGTTCTTTCTACTTGACGACTTTTATAGCCTTTTTTCTGTAACATGTATTTCCATTTCAGTGTCCTGAGGATGGAATAAATAAATTCCGAAAGATTGACCATTAACAAAGTGTATTAATTCTAGTCCAAACCCTTCCGACTGCAACCTCACTAGTTCCTATGTTTTCTTTCTCACTAGTCAGTCGATACTACTCATAGATACTACTGTCTGCCTAAATAAATATATGAAGGAATACATACAATATCATCGAAAAAACGGCGTCAGCGATCATTTTATATATAAAATTATATGGGGAATGTCAAAGATGTTCATTTCCCAGCCAACTGGACGCCGTTTTCTTCGATCATACGTTAGTCATTATTATTTTATTTACAAACCTACCTCATACTTGTATTAATAGTAAAGTGGATATCAA